TTATTTCACCAACTATTTTTACCATCTTTAGTTTGGTTTCAGATTTGATTACTTGATTAGTTGTTTTTCGTGAGCAGATTTTAAATCACGGCACATTTCGTTCAGACATGGAAATGCATTTGAACGATGTAGCTGGAGGTTCTGCTCGTATCTTTTCCTTAGTACTAATATTCTGAAAGCAGAAGTTTGTAAATCCCACAACAATGAAAGCATTAAATCGACGATGGCTGAATTCCATTCAGCTGCTTCAGCCACAGGAACCGTGGAAAGTCCTCGTGTGGTCTCTGAAACCATCCAGCCACTGGACTGAGAGGATATTACACGGTGAAGGTGATGAATTATTACATGTAGGTCACTAAAGGAGCAGATTAGAAGCCACTGATGCTCGACTTCACGTTTTCTCTCCTTCATAGTAATAAAAAAAACAAGGTCAAATTTTGACTTAAGCTACAGATTTTCATACAAATTTGGATCAGATTGGTGTGTGTGTGTGTGTGTGTGTGTGTGTGTGTGTTATGTCATTTAAACACAGATAGTGGAGAGAGAATCATAATGATTTAAGCAACACGTTTTCAGTCTGCCGAAATCACAGCCGAGCCACAGAATCTGTAATTATCCCTCGGATTCAATAAAAGCGAGGATGAAGAGGAGCGAGGAAAGGATTTCACTAAAGCGCTTCTGCGAATCGCCACTACACGGGTACGAGATAACACCAGAGATAATAGCTTCTTCTACTTCTTCTTTTTTCCTACCTGAAGAGCAGCTTCACGGGGCACGATCGATAACACTATCAAAGGGCAGAATCGCAGCCCTAATGAAAGGAAAGAAAATACTGCAGGCTACAGGCTGCGAAGACCACGAGAGATCTGTGTGCATCAACACGCCTGAGTCTAAATATGAAATCAATTCATTACGCCCTTTATTTCTTTCTCAAACGCTGTCCGGGGCCCAGATAAACAAATCTACCTGCTACCTCCGTTTTATTCCCCCACCTTCCAACGTGTTCAGCGCTCTTCTTTCCTTTTCCCCACCAATGAAATGAGAGACAATCAGTGGACACTCTCCCTGCCAAGTGGCATGAATAGATTAAATTGCAGATCATAATTTATCATTTCTTTATTAAAAAGTAACGCGGGTGAATTAACTTTGAATTAAACTCTATTTGCACAGGATTACTGGAATCATCTGTGTAAATGGCTTAAAATCCCAAACGGGACATTGTTCCCTCCAACACTATAATTGTAGAGAAAGAAGTTTTTTTTTCCTTCATCCAGAAAATGATAAGAAACTATTGGAACATACATCATGAAGACTTTAATCACCACACAGAGAAAAGTCATACTTTAGGAGAATCTTCTCTCTAATAAAGAAAGAAACTGACCAAATTACCAAACGGGATTCATGGAAAAACACACCTGCAAAACTTTGTCCCCATGTGACGTCCTCACTGTTACGCACAGTGAGACTGAACGGTGAGCTTTGCTTCAGCGTCACACTCTGACGCGCGTTGAGCACAAACACACAGCAGGTTGTACGTTACAGGTCATTTTATCCAAAGTGACACGCGGTTCGTTTTTTAACAAATGGCACAGGGACACGCTGGGGGTCAGGTGTCCTCCTCAGGGACACTTCTTCTGATGTTGAGGGTCAGTTGGTGGATCAGAAACGTCCAGCTGGCTCCGGAGGACGGACGTAGGAGATAACAAATACCCCAACACGATTCAAACAAATATCCAAATTACAGAAACGTAAAATATTGGCGTGTTAACTGATCATCAATGGGTATAGAAAGTGTAGGAGGTTTGTCAAGGTGGTACCATCCACTTGTATTTTTCTAAATGTTAAATAATTAGATGTGATAAATAAGAAGAGCACATGGTTACATTTTCAAAGTCAGGTGGGGAAATTCTGAATAACATGGAAATAATAATAATAAAGAGTATAAATGCTCCATTTGATGTCACCTCCGGCGGTGGGTTTCACGTTCATTAACGTTATTTCCTCTCCTCTTGTAATGCAGTCTACAGTCTAACGATGTGGTTAAAAAGAAGCAGATAGATGAGCATTTTGATTGGCACAAGACTCGTGGGACCTACCAAATGGGGCGGAGCCCCGGGGGACGGTCTGAGATCTGATTAGCTGGGCTCATGAGAGTGGAGGGCACCGCCACTCATTCCACGTCGAACAATCGCCCGAGCCTCGTCCTCCTCTTTTAGTTCTTTATTGACATTCAGCACAGTTGTTTTTACAGTGGACACAAACCCGCGGACGCACACGGACAACATCTGCTGCTTCAAGACGAGGGCTCCTTTCTCCACGAGGCCTTTTCAGTTCAATCAGCGCTCTTTGATACTGAGCCCTCTCTGCACACGCTCAAGGGCGCGAAGACGTGAACGGTGCACGCGCACACACACACGCGCACACACACGCACACTTCAGCTACAGACACGTGAGCACGCCTGGACACACAGCCGCTGATTGTGATTGGCCTGGATGTTTGGCGGTTAAGGCGCCGCAGTCTCCGGCCCAGTTGTGAGATGCCAGGCCGGGCCGCACTGACTCCCGATGCGGCGGCCGCGGACAGAGGCGCCACGGGGGGCTTCAGCTCCAGTTAAGTGCAGCCTGAACCCCAGAGAACAGCTGGCGCACGAGGAGCGGCGAGGTGCGTGACGGTCCACGGGCTTCTTCTACTGATGACTGAGGAGGGGATCTGGTGCCATGAGGCACCGCTTGCATTTCAAATGCGTGTCCACTCAAACCCATTTGTCTGAACGTCCCTTACTCCTGTGAGTCGTACAGCAACAGCACAGCATTCTCCTCGCTGACTCCCTCCAATGTGTGGCCACAAAGAGCTCTTCTTTGGGGATGAAATTGGGTTTTCCTAGAGGCAAAGATTGATAGATGCAGATATCAAAGCCACTACCATTTATAATGATAATCCTCTTATGAATATTGGTGTTACTTTCCAGTTTCAATTAAGATATCACATACATTTCTAAACAAGAGCACAACAACAAAAATGTTGGATAATTTAATGTGGACTGTTATATAATAATATATATTTCTTCACACAATAATGTAACAGTCATGTAATAAAGTACATGTTTTGTTTAAAGTGATGTGACCCTGAGTCACACATAAGTTATGCTAATTATGTCCTAATCTTACCAATTACATCACAGCTCATTTAGCTGATGCTTTTATCCAAAGCGACTTTTTAACACACGGCTTTTTACCTTTTTGCCCGGGGAGCAATTAGGGGTGGCATCTTGCTCAGGGACACGTCGACATGGGACAAGGAGCGGCCAGGACTGGAACCACCAACCTCGCGGTTCCCAGCGCTCCCTCTCTACCTCTGCGCCACGACGACCCAATCGCGTCTCTGCGCAAGTCTCTTGAATCTTTTGGCATTTTCTCTATTGAGCAGCAGGTACAGATTTGAGTCTGATTGTATAGAAATCTTTGACAAAATGACTCTTCAGGATCAGTAAACATTGTAAACATCCGTCTCAATCTCAGGTTTTCTTCAATCCACCATGTTCATTCAGTAAATTAAGCTCTATATCTGGGATCATGTAGCAGAGTATTCTATTGAACAGGGCTGTTGTGATTGACAGGCCACTGTCCCAACCAGAGCCGTTGGTACCTTTACAAATATGGTGTCATCCGTTTGAGAAAAGAAGACATGGCGACAGACGCAGGCGGCAGAATCCGTGAGCTGGAGGCTTCATAACGGCCCTCCACCAACCCGTCACCATGGCTACACCCACTTCCTCACACAGCGGATGGTGGTTTCCTCTGAAGTTGAATTTCAAACCGCTGCATAGCATGTGTTGGGTTACATTAACTCTTCTGGTTTCAGGCGGGAGACAAACACCAGATATCTGAGGACAAGTCCCGTCCCTCTTTTCCTGAGTGGACCTTTGTGGTCCGTCCATAAGCCTCAGAATGAGACCCGTTCAGCAGCGATTGCTCTGCTATTGGTCAGCGTGCTGGTGGTATGTTGCACGTGTTCTGCCTGATTCTTTATGCCCACTATATGCTTCAGATTTGTGTGTCTTTAGTTCTTCTTATATTGTAGTCTCCATTTCTCAACGTATATATATGTTGTCAAAGTGGATTGATGTTTTTGGAATTAATTTGACTTGGTTTCTAGTAATGAAGAATCACAAAAATGTACAAAAATACTTCCATCCTTTTGTTGGTGATGTTTGTATGGCACATGCTGTCCCGGCTTTGGGAACATCCACTTGGGAAGGACGACTTCTCTGGCTGACTGGAAGTCTTCACAAAGAGACGGAGACGTTGTAATTCACGTGCACTCAAACTCACATTCACACGCATGCACATTCACAGCCCCCCCCCCCCACACACACGCCTCATACCCCCTAATGCCTCTGTCACACAAAAATCCACATTAATTATTCATCTCCTTTTGTGGGAAAAGTGTATTGTTTTTTTATGAACTATATGTAAGTCTCTCCCCATTTTTCCCTCAGATTTTCATCCACTCGCCTCTGTGCACCTGCTCCCGTTCTGCTCATCCCTATGCGGAAAGGAATATGGACACATATTGCCGATCCTAATTATCAATATATAGTGTCGCCCCACAGCCATATGATAAATCACACACGCCCACCCCCTGTTCCTCCCTGTTTTCTTCCGTTTCATATCTCCTTCAGCATTTTCCCGGATAAAGTTTGAACCCCTTGGTTCTGTTAAGATGTTGCTGAAACAGATTTGAAATTATTCCCCCCTATGTGTCGAAATGTTTTGGCTACCCAGGCCCCCCCCCCATGCATAAATGTTTAACCACCACAAAGGGAGGAGAGGTCCGCTGTCGAGGCTCACAGGAAAGACGGAGTGACAGCATTCAAAATTTCTTAAGAGAGTAAGTTTGTTTGTTTTTGTTTGGGGGGGGGGGGGGGGGGGTGCACACATTTGTGCGTGAGGAGTGGGTGTGCCCGTCGGCTCGCTCCACACTGCCCCTCCATGGAAGTCTCTATATTTTCTGACGGTATTATCCTCCATGAGCAGCAGAGCTCCTGGGGGGTCGAGGCAGTGGCTGCTGGCTCTCTGCGTAACGCACTGCTACAGTTCAACTGATCACCATCTACTTCTACGGGAGACGGACCTCCCATCACAAGGACAACAAGCCACGGCTGCTTTAAATGGAAACCAGTGAGTAAGACGTTAAGGTGCCGTGCTGACTGTTGACTTTGTCCTTCCTGCAGACAGACTGTGATGAGACGCTGATCCACATTTGTTCATGAAAAAAGAAGCTTGGATCTGAATACTGACAGCTGTAACAGTCTGTTGGGATATTTATTATTGTGCTTTACTTTTCATTTAAAATCTACACTTTACTGGTGTTAAAGGCCAAATGAATGTTCAATAAAAAATTCAATTTCAGAAAAGAAGGAACACACAATGTAGATAAAGGATTTGTTATATATACATAGTTGCTAAACAAAACTTCTCCTCTAATAAGGATCCTGCTGAAAAAATGATGTTTACGGAAGACCGAACTCTGTTACATAAAAATCCCATTTCCACCCAGATTATAATTTGTACGAGATTAACTCTATAATATTTTGTTTGTATTTGTATATAAGTTGAAGCTGCAGAGACATGTTGCTGTAATATATGTCCCAATACCTGCAGTGTTGTGTATAAGGAGCCTCATATGAAACAAAAGTTGTATTCCTACAGTTATGTGCGTTATTATTATTACACTATCAAAAGACTAGGACCTTCAGATTGGGTTTATTGGCATAACATTGACATACATCCAATTTTGTGCTGACTTGCTATTTGTCATGTTCGCCTCTATTTTGCCCTCCCATCCTCTATTTCTCTCTCTCTTCACCCCTCTCTCTCTCGTATGAAGTCTGCATATGTAATAGGAGGGATTTTGTTGTCCCTAGACACCAATTTACATAAAGTGCATGCCATCATTAGTTCAAGAGAGGGAAATGATTTCCTTGGCAACATCACACTTTTTCCTTCTTTTATTATTTATTAATTTTCTTTAACAGAGCGCAAGCTGGGGCTTGTTAGGAACATTTAGCAAGATATGCTAAATGTTACTCTCCATAAAGCGCCTTCATCAATGAGCCGCTACGAGGGGGGGCTGCTGCAAGAATGATCAAGGACTCGGCCAGTCGTTTAGCAGCTGAAGCAAATGCACCAGTATGGCTGTGTGTGTGTGTGTGTGTGTGTGTGTGTGTGTGTGTGTGTGTGTGTGTGTGTGAGTGTGAGTGTGAGAGAGTTCAATGTGTTTGTTTTTAACATCAGTTCAAAATGTAGTTGCTTTGTGTTGCTAATAATACATATATTAGAGTAAAGGTTTTCCACATCAAAAAGAGTAGGCAGTTCTTTATGGTGAGTCTTATTGAAATGGACAAACTGACAGCTGACACACATTTGTTGAAAGACTGGTGTCAAAAACACGACTGCATGCTGTTGTACGTCTAAAAGGTTGCTGTTGGTTCCCAGGTTTGAGGAACAAATTTGACAGTTCGTAGTGGCCTGTTAACCCACTCCTACATGAGTCCAATTTTAGTGTATTTAGAATTCATAATACTCTTTATGGTCATATTTCATCCGCCATGTATAAAAAAAGAGCAAAATTAAATCCTCCAACAGGTAAAACGTGATGAAAGTAGGACATCCAATGAGGTTTGTACACCAGCAATCTGTGCAAACACTTGGTGTGTCAAAATTAAAGCTCCACTGTCAATGGGTCCCTTTTGGACTGGGCCCAAAAGACTCACGAAGACCTCTATTGTTTCAAAAGTATTTTAAGGTTATTCATGTGGCTTTTCTAAGATACTTTTTACGATTGAACAGATTTGTAATCAAGCTTCTGAAATTATGCTAAATTCACATGTCTGCTATCATAAAATCCTGGGGCCGGATGCTTTGCTTTGAAGCCACAAACAATCCTCCAGAATATGTTTGTACCAAGACCAGCCTCTTTCTTTTGGTTGTAGTGTTACTGAGCAACTTTCTTATATCTTAGGCCGATGGTGTATTTTGTATTGATCTTCGCTTGGCACCAGTGGTTTGACACATCTGGGCCTCAACACATCACTTCTTAGACTAGAATATCACTTTGGATTCTGCTTGTAAATTCATCTGAAAACTGAACAAAAAAAGAAAATCATAATTAACTCTAAAATAAAACAAGCCGACTTAATGAACCCCCAAAAATACTTCCTTGTGTCAGTCATCTCTATTCTACCGTTTCATTAGCAGCAATGATGGAGGTGCAAATGTCATTCCAGCCAAAACCCCTTTACCACTTTGAACATGACGTTATTTAAAATGAATGTATTTCACTGAGAGAGATCCGAGGGCCATTGTACTTTAGATGTGTCCTCTTTTGTCTGGGGCACTGAACAATGCTCTGTCGTTTTAGCAGAAGCTAATATGATTAAAGCGCTGTGACAATAGACGGTGTAATTCGTTTCATCATTAGGGACAGCGGACAGGGCCAGGAGACAAGGGGGGTGGATTATCATGGCTGCATGCACATTCAACCCTCAGTGGTGACGATGGACAGCCGAATGGAATTAGCTCAAAGTTGAGGACTTTGGAACAAATCTACCTCTGCGTTTTACACAAGGGGTTTTGGAAAATCATCAATCCCACGGACAGAGGGGATTTATCAAGTGTAATAATGGCAATAATCCCCCGTGCTCTTCCAGTGAGGGATGGTGAAGTGTACGTATCGACGGAGGAGGATGTCGCCAAAACGCAAGGAAAGCAGCGCTCCTGGCTTACGAAATAGTCCTCCATTTACCGCCGACCGCTGCTCCATTGCTGTTCTTAGTCACGAGAGATTGGACACTTAGCCTCTCCTGAAGGCCTGTTTCTCATAAGTGTCTGCACGCAGCTAGACGCTGCCATCTGACAAGTCTTTCATCTGCCTGGCACATTGGCTCACCGAGCTCCCAGTCACTGGAGGAATACCACTTCACATGTTTGCCTATAAAGTTACATGCCTATTAGGCCACCGCAGAAGAAGTGTGCAATATTGGCCGTCTAGACGATTAGGAGTAAGCCTCGAAATGATATCAAATTCTGCTAACATGCACCAAGAAACGTGGTGCGAGGATGAGAACAAAACCCCCCTGCGCCCCATGACACTGGGGGCCATATTATGGGAGAAATGCAGCATAGGTGGAAAATTACTACAGCGTCATTAGAGGCCAATTGTATCATTGCGTGCACTTTCTTGACTTTATATTTTTTAATTCTCAGGACGGCAGTCACCCAGCAAGGATTTTTGTTCTGTTAAAATATGTTTTTTCAATCAAAGTTTACATTTGAACCTTACTTTGTAAGTACTTTAACTTAAAATAGCACCAGTAGTATAATTTCCTCCATGTCACATTGGTTGTTGAATGTTATTATGTAGTGTTAGCATGTAGCTACAGCAGCATGGGACAACAGTAAACTAAGGTGAGGATGGACTGTCTTTATGGGTTGCAGTTGTAGCCCAACGTTTTAAAATTTTGTTTTAGGATAATTTGACATGTAAAACAAGACTTGAGGGTAGCGTCCCTTAAAATACGGAATTATCCCATATTTGAGAATAAAATAACCCCCCCTCCCCGTCGGTCGCGTCGTCCGCCACCCCTCCCGTTGGACGTAGCATCCCTTATTTTTCTGTACTAAAGGTGGCAACCCTACTTAAGGCTGACGTTACTCAATATCAGATGTTCCTTCTTTCACTTGCTGATGTGATTTATATTTGAAAGCAGACTTGGTGAGTTTGCCAAACAACCAAGACAGAAAAGACAATCGTTTTTTTCCATCCGTGTTGGTGTCTTAAAAAAGAAAAAAGGGAGTTTCAGCGGTGCCTCTGAGCAACGTACACCTTCCTCTGGAGAGCCGGTACAGTACGGGGACATAAAACATGCACAACTACACGTGCACAAAAAGGATTGGCGGTAGTGGTGGGGGAGGGGGGACTAAATGCTCCCAAAAAAAGACCAAAATGGATGTTTCTTACAGGCAGGATCATTAATAACACAGTGACTGGTGAATGCCGCGGCGATGGCTTAGTGTGGAGAAGAGATGACGAATCCTCCAGTCTTTTCTCTCTCAGATGACTCTCTCTATTAATTAGTTTTACGTCTTCATTTGTTATTTCATACTGTTCCAACGTGCAGAGTGATTTTTAATCGTCACAGGTTCGATACATCGTATCAATGCAATTCATTTGTTTACCTTGGATTCATTTTTTGGATCCGTGCATCGTGTCTTATTTAAGATGAGATCTAGACTACCATTTATTTCACAACTGAAATTTTTATTTCTAATGAGGAATGTGGTCAACGTGGTGGTTAGTCATTTATATTGACTAGTGACTGCATGAGACGGCTCGGTTCTTAAAGGAATTTCAAGTTTCACTGCGAACTTTGGTTGAACCAAACTAAAAGGCGGCCGTTGTCCTGAACATTCATTTTCATAAGCTTTGTCAAAAATGAATGTTTTGACAAAGCAGCTTTCTTAGCAGCTTAGCTTGTGAGCTGGCTAAGCGCCGCTACTATTAATAATACACGTAACACATTAATATAACACATCAACTCTTATACACAAATCCCATATTTATAATTTGAGCTAAGCTCAGTGTGTCTTTCTAGAATGTTCTCTACTTCTGGTTAACACACCCGTCGTGTCTTTAATTTTCTTTTTGTATCTGCAGTGTTTCTAGTTTTATTTTTCATTTTTTCTGGAAACTTTCCTTCCTGCCTCCCTGTGATGGTTGCCCCCACAGGATTACATACAAAGTCTCCGCACCGACGCTATGAGACTGGAGCAACGCAAATCTGCGATTGAGCGGCGTGTTTCTCTCATCGAATGTTCCCTGCGAGTTTGCGCCGAAGTTGACGTGAAGTGAAATGGCCAAATGCAGCAAACGCGGAAGTTGAAATATTTGAACTTTTAACGCAAAATGGTGTGACGCTGGGGGGGCGACAGCCTATGAGCCTTGAGATGCTGCTCCCATCGTCACTGACGTCCCGCAGCAGTCATCCAGGTTCCAGTTCCTGTAGAGGTCGGTGAAATTCACCAAGCTGCTTGCGCCTATTTAGTACAAACACAACGGCGCTTGGTGGTCCGACCTGAGTAGAACTTCTACAACAGGTTCAGAGTTGCTAAGTCTTGAA